TTCAGTCAAAAATGACTTAAGCTCCAATTAATCATTGACTGCTTTTCATTTTATATCATAATATCATATGAAAATATGATATTAATTTTAATAATAGAAGATTAAATCTTTTTCTGTCTTATTTTCAACCAAATATCAAAAGTTAAGATCTAAATTCAATAAAATTACAATATACATTTTTTGGACCCCTCCCGAAAAAAATTTCTAGATACGGCCTAGTATAGAGTACTCATAAATAGCCAATATATTATATGGTTAATTATAAAAAGATTAAGTAGAAATTTACTAAATTCTTAAGGTATATTGTATATTTTCCATTTTTAATAATTTAGTAGATGGAAATCAAGTGTATAAAATACTAATTTTATTTATATTTGTGGTTCTCAGACGTATATAATAACAGCACATTTGGAAAATTATTTGCTTTTTTGAAACAGAAGTACGCAGAACCTAACTTTATTCAATTTCAGAGTATCTTACACACTTATTAATTCAATATTGTTTATGTTGGCAAATTTACATAGCCCAAAAAAATATAAAGAATTGTTTTCTTCTGAGTTATATTCATGAGTTATATTGCATTCCAATTTTAATTTTAATTTTTATTGCAGTATCGTGTATACACGTATTTTAATAATAGAAACATTTTTTTCTTGGTATTTTAACATATCTTACAGAATCATTTTGATTATTTTACGGTTCCTTCTACTTGGAAACTGCTATTATAGATAATTTATAATACAAATTAATTACATTTGTAATATATTGTTAATTATTAATTATTGTGCATAATGTTTTCATATTTATAAATATTTTTATTTAGACAATCTTCTTTTCAATTGATTCCAAACAACAATAAGAAGATGATTTATATTAATTAATCTATTATGTATTTTAATATTATAATATTGTATTCATACATAACTTATGTCTTTATAAGTATCATAAGTTGATATACATGTTCAATCTAATATGGTAAGAATACAGACAAATAACAATGATAAAATGATAAAGGTACTTATCTCTTTTGGTAAAAACTAATCAACTGTGTATAACAGTATTACATTAATTACAATAAACATTTATAAGATTTAACATGGTTATAAAAGATTAATGATTTAACATAATTTAATGTGAAATAATATAATAAATCTACAATACCCAGAAAAAAAAATAGATAAATTATTTTATATTTAACCATAAAAACTAAATACAATTAAATACTTATACGATACACCTATTGATTGTAAATGCGTAGTACAATAAAATATATTATGTAACAGCATATTATTTTATGTATGATATATAGATAGAAATTTAATACGTATTATCCGTTGTTTTGATTTAATGGTTTAATTTTAAATAAACAATTTTTTGCTATTATATAATTTTTATTTCATTTAGAACTTTTGTTTTTAACCATTAAGCTCAACAATTAAAGAAAGATACATTATCATCAATATTAATATTAATAAACACATATATATATATATATATATATCAGTAGGTAAACCAATACATATTGCATTATTTCTAGAAGCTATGGCCCATAATGTTTTTATTTATATCAAATCTATTTAAAAAAATAGCTTATTGTGAAAATTAATTTATCATTAAAGTTGACAATTGCATCATTTAGTTTCAAATTATTTAATTTTTTTCTTCCAATAACATTTAATATTGAACGCTATAACACAATTAAAATTATTTGATAACGAAACTATCCAAAATATTTTAATTATTAGTTTTAGCAATTTAAATTTTACTCATATTATATATTTATATTGGATAACGTAGTATTTAACTAGTGCATACATTATTTATAATAATCAACCACAAAATGTAAAAGATTCAGTGACTCAGAATCATAAAAGGTACTTCCTGGTTTGTTACGATTGAATCCCCTCCCCACGTAGACTTCCAACTACCCACAGTTATTAATATCATCAAACAGCACATTAAATGATTCATTCTTAAATTATCAAACCACCTTAATCCTTTCATCAATAATATGTTTTCCATGATCCTCTCCGGCCCAATTTAAAATCTACTCAAATTATAAATAAATAATAATATTAGTCTTATAATAAACAAAATAGCTAAATAATGTGAAAAATTAAGTTTATTTCTGAGTAAACTCAACAGGATATTCACAAGAATATTACTGTAATTTTATAAGAAATTATGTATTCTTATTATTTTAGAAAATTAATTGTTAAATTTTCCTTAAAAAAAAAAAAAATTATACTGACAACAATTTAAAAATTAAAAGTTCAATATATCTGGTTTAATAAAAATTGTAAATTCTTTAAAAAAATAAAAATATTTCTTTTTTTCATCTTACATTTATTTACTTATTATACATCTTAAATATTGATTATTTCATAATAAATGCGTTATAAACATATTGTAGTGACTTCAATGTATATCGAATATATAAGCTACTTTATATTTTTAAAACAAAAAATAATTTTTATATAGTTCAATTTTAAATTTTTATGAAATGTCAAAGCGTCCATTCATATAATTACTAAACTGTTATGCAAAAAATCTGAGAACATTTTAATATTATTAGGAACATGCAGAAAAATAGTTTATGTTAAATTAGAAAAAAAAATCATTCCTCACATATTTAGTTATAAGTAATGGTAAAAATTGTATTATTTCAGCTTTATTAGCTATTTATAATAAATAATCTAATTAATTTTACTATCATCCATAATTTGCTTGTTCAATACTTTAACAATCATTTTTTTATATGTAGTTCACTAATAAATACATTTGAATTTACCATGCTTAATATTTTTATATTTTTTTACTCACATCATAATCGAATTTTTTCAACAAGATGTTCAAATATTATTATTATGGTAATTTTTTTTTCTTTTATTCTAAAACTATATTAAAAATTAAATAGTTTTAACTATTGGAATAAAAATATCAAAAGAATATTAAACTCATATAACAGAAAATATAAATGATATGTTTTTATAATATAATATATACTTTTTATTAATTAAATACAAACAGTCCTGATAAAAGACAAACATATACCAAAGTTGTATAGTTTGATAAGCTTTAAATTCTATTTCAGTAATTCATTATTTAAAATATTTAATTATATTTATATTATTATTATTATTTATACAATTATGAGCATGCGTTCATTTATATTTATATACATCCTTAGTTTTTGTAGGTGAATGTCGCATAAGCCAATTTTCGTTATTGTGAATATAATATAAATTATTTGAAAAAGGCACAAGAACTTCTAGTTTATAAAATATACACATATGTGCATTACAAAAATAAATACAAAAATCAAAATATATTGTGATGAATACAACACCATCATCAATTTAATATACAAAATAGCAATATTAAGTAAATAATTTTCATAAAATGTAAAAAAAAAAAAAAAATATTTATTATTGATAATGTATTTTAGTAAAATTGAATAACAATTTTTGTTGAGTAATAATTAAGACTTTTTGTTCTTATCGCCTTGAATATGAAATTTACTAAAATATTAAAAAAAAATTATTGATGTCTTAACTAAAAAATTATTGTAGAACATAATGAAACCGAACATATTTTTCGAAAATTTAAAACCACAGCCTTTATTCAAATTATTAAAATATTAAAACCACACCATAAAAAAATGTTAACATTTATTTAAACAAATAATAACAATAAAATACACTTAACAAATTATTTACTCTTACATAACATAATGTAATATACTATTTAAACTATATATACTCTACTTATATAGATTTAATTAATATGCATATATACATATATAATTGGATTCTATATATTATATCGGTTATTTGTAAAATGGTAAACACATAAATAAAATACTGTTATTTTGTTTAAACTCGACGTTCTTCTTATGATAATTAGTAACTATGATGATTGCTACTTATTAAAATCATTCTCATCCTTTCTCGTTTAGAAATCTCAGGAAAAGCTCAAACATTAACTCAATAGTCTATGTAGAACTGAAAAATGATCCTTAATTGATGTGATTAAAATAATAATGGGTATAAATAAAGCTTTAAGATGAAAAACATTAAATAGATTTAACTGTTTTTTTCTTCAGAAAATTAAACGCTACTTTCGGTCATTTAATTCGGCAAATTACAATGCTAGAAATGTTTATAATACAGCATTTCAGTATAAAGTATAAATCATAGATAAATTCCATGTCGGGTCTGCCTTAAAATTAATGTTAAAAAAAAAATATAAAACTTCCTTAACATAATTTATTATTATTCACTCTTATGCTAATATCTCGATTAAAGTCAATTTATGTATTATATAAGTATAGTGATCTATCTATTTACCTAATTAGGCATTTATTTTAATTTAAACAATAGATTTTATTTCTACATTAGATAAATCTAGCTTGGATTCTGTCTATAGTATTATCCCTGAAAATTTTTTTTACATAATATGTAATAATATGACATAAATAAAAATAATCGATATCAAGCCATATAGTAGTTATTTTCTAGAATATTCTACTGCCATGGAATCATGTGAGTCCTCTGCGAATCGTTATCACGAAGACTGCAGATGTTTAAAGCTCATTCGTTTAAGTATTATTCCTTATTTTCATCAATAATTTTATTCATATGTAATATACATACAATGTATTAATATGTTTTAAAGTACAAGATTTATTTATTCGAAAAAACTACCCTCAAATATTATACATGCATATTATAACTGATTTCAAAATAAATTAACGCAAGAACCTTAATTTCTCACACATGTAATGATGTATTAAAAAAGCATAAGTATTTCAAAACAAAACTAATATATAATATTGTAACCAGTGAAAAATAATATAAAAGTGAAAACTCTCCTTTGATTGTTTTATTAAATAATATAATTTAAATAAAATAACATAATTCAATTTTAATAATTTTAAACCGGTTTATTTTTTATAAAATTTAATGTTTAAAAGTATGTTTATGGTTATTTTATTTTCATTTTTTAGCACCTATTACCTTTCATTTCCTTTTGATATATCTTTACTTTACCGGATATCTTTTTTTTTCAAATTTTTCCCTCTATTTTTTTTTTTTTTTTTGTCTCGACCTAAACAGATAATAAAAATATCAATCTATCCAAAAAATATTACAGATAGCTTACGTGTACGTTTACGAGGAGCATTTGACGTTCGGATAGAAAGAATGGTTGAAAGGACGTACAATAAGGGAACCTCGAAAAACTTATAACAACAACAACAATATTATTATGTATTGATAATAATAAATTGATTAGAGAATAAATAGTTACTCGGTTTAGTAATAATAATGATAATAATAATATTTATGTATATGTATAGTATGATAACTTGTCGTACGATTTTTTATTTATTTTTTTTATTTCTTAACTACTCGTGTCACCGAATTTTAGGTTTATGGCCCGCGGGTCGGGTTGCACGTTCTCCACGGACCCTGTGACGGGTATTCGGACGGACGTTTGCGCCGGTCGCCGCTGCTGACACTGCTCGACGGATGGCCGTTCCTCGTCGACGTCGAGTTTTTTCTTCTTGAACATTGCCTGACCGCCACTGCCGCCGTCACCAATGCCTCTGCCACTCCTGATCACGGACATCCAGAACCGGACGACGGTGAACACCACACCGACGGCGAACAACATCGAACCGACAAAACGACACAAGGCCAGATTTTCGTTGAACGTCACTGCCCTTCGGTCGATCATCATCACGTTGGCCGACCGGTTGATCATCGGGTCTTTGGCCGGTACCAAGTGGCCCACGGCCATCGCAACTGCTCCCAACGTAATGATAGCGAATCCCAGTACCGTGTACACACCACTGCAATGCCTGCGCCAGCGGATCTCCGGTTCCACGCAATATTTGAAATCGTCGTCTTCGTCCTACGTTCAACACAAATGCAAACAACCGTCGGATTAGAAATCACCATTTATGTGAGCACTATATTATAAAACCACCGACGCGAAAAATTCAGACTGCCGTAATGCGTCAATGTTAAACCCGGAGCTCAGCAAAAAAAAATTAAAGGACTTGTACTTGAAAATATAAAATTAAAGACAAATCACAAATTAAAAAAAAAAAAAAATCACGATTCTGATATAAACATTTATAATACTAATTTCACATTATGGAGTGATCCATTTAATTATAGACCAATTTTCTAAGTTCCATATCAAAATTAAATTTTTATTGACTTTGTGATATCTAATGATGAATTTTTAATTCGAAACCGGTCGTAAATTACACACATAATAATGAAACGAAACTAATTTATTTATTTCTATGTACAAACTATTTGTTTAAAGATTAATTTAAATTCATCAACGTTTTAAAAGATTTTTTTCAAGTTCTTTTCTAGCATACACGTAATGTAATGTAAATCAATTGCATTTTATATAAGTTTATTAAAATCTAATACTTAAAAATAAAGAAACGTTGTGATGAAAAAAAATATAAAAATATTGTATGTATAAACGTTACTAAACTTCATGTTCCTTCAAATGTTTCAACTATTTTAATCACACAATTGAGATAATTTAGTTCAATTATATAAACAAAATCCATCAATTATAAAGTTTTGTTTACTTTATGCTTATGTTTTAAAATTATGCTTATATTAGAGAAAGTTCGCAGAAAAATATTTTTAATTCAATCAATTGTTCGGTATAAATTTACTCAGATATAAATGAAAATATAGGTTCAAATTTTTATCTTTCAAATTTATAATAAGTATTTTTTTTTTTTTAATAAATTCGAACTAAATTTTCAAAATCTATCTTATGTATGTCAAAATAATATTATTTTTCAATACTTGATAAGTTGATTCAGTAGCTAAAATAATATACTTTAATTGAAGTCATGTGTTTTCCAAGCGAGCCAGCAGATAAAACAATATGTCAATACGCCATTATATTATTTGTCACATGTACTGTTTACATCATATTTTCATGATTCTCAGTGCTGATTCTGATGTGTTTTATATTTTAAAATTGGCAATATAAAATTCGATTTTTTTTTACTCACACATTCAGTGCCATGCTCAGGAAGGGATGGTTAGTGGTTGGGTGGATAGTTGAATATATAAATTTAAACATCAAAACTCCAGAAAGTGCTTTTAAAATTGAAATTGATAATATATCTTAATACTAAAAAATGTACTCATATATTATAAAAATAAACATTAAAACCAATAAAATTACCAAAAAATACTAAAAAATGCAAAACAAAATTTCACATTTGAAATGGATGTTACATAATATCTGTGAATAATAAGACACGCTCCACAAATAATTCTATTATTTCATTGGTAAAACCACGGCCCTATCCTTTTCTTTATTATATATAATTGTCATATTGGTAATTCAACTCTGATAAGGTGATTTGCGCCAATATATTACGACTTCACAATAAATAAGATTTAGATACGGGAAAACTCGAACTACAACTAACTGCATCTAATTTGATAACAGGATTGAAAAATACGCTTTCTGAATTTAAAACCAATGACAACGATTTCGATGTGGTATATGATACAATAAAATTTTATGTTGAATTTAATATAAAGATTCCAAAAGTTAGGAAACAGACAATTTCATGTATAGTTGACCCTAATGAAGATATACAACATACTCGTATTTCGTAATCTAAAAACAAAATTAAGTATTCTTATTATTTTTTTAATATTAGATGAAATGTTAAATAGTTTAAATTCACGTTTAAATCAATAAACTTTAAGTATAATTTCTGTAGTTGGAAATGTAATAAATCTTACAAAAAATGATTATTCCTGTTTTTCAAAAACATTTGTAATTAGTATTGATGAATTAAAAACTGAAATCAAACTGTTAAATAATATTCCAAACACATAATTTTAGAGGGGTTCATCAATAATAACTATTTATCAGTAGTTCCAATGGCTAGATCAGCCTGAAAAAGCCGATTTTTATTATTTATATATATTTTTATTAATCTCTATAGAACATTAGAATAATTTAGTACAATACTTCGCACAAATTATTCAAATGAGAAAATGTTTTTCTAGCTAAATTAATATTGTAAAGTCTAAATGTCCTGCTAGTACGAACCAAAGATTATTTTGACAGCTTATTTATTATGAATACTGAACAAGAAGTATGTATGGAACTTGACTATAGAAAAATAATTGAAGAATTCAAAGTATATTAGTTCCAGGAAATCGCCGAATAACCTAATAAATATTTGTTTTTATGTGACTGATATTTTCATTTTTTACTTAAACAGTATCAATGTTAAAATTGTTTGAATTTAATATTTTAATATGATAAAATAGTCAATAAACTAAAAACTAAAACCATTTACTTCGACTTTAGTATTTCTACAGTGTAACCATTACCTAACCTAAGTACCTATAAGAAAAAATTGTACCGTACATGTATCATAGTCATGCCTCTGATATACGAGTACATGATATATAATATATCACACTATATAATTATACTATTTTAATTGACAACTTGGTATTAATGTGTTATAATTTAAATTTATTTTAATTATAGAACAATTCACAAATGTACACAATTAAAAGCTAGAAACGATTTTAGAATAATTGAAACATAAAACCCCTTATTTGAGATTTTGGTATTATGACGATGATTTATTTAAATGTATTGTAATATAATACTCATAACATCTCCCCTCCCATTAAAAATTTCTAGGCACACCACTGCACGTATTGTAATCGCACCAGAAGAAAATAAATAATAAATCAGAGACGTCGACTAGTTGACTAATATTAATTATACCATAGAGTATGTAGATAATGCTAGTAAAACAGTTATTATAAAATTAAAAAAAACAGTGATCAGTGTCTGGTATGTTAATATTGTTAAGACAATTCTTAACATATTTATACTGCATCTTAAGAAATTCCTTGAGTTATCCTAGGAATATGCGTTAATTATTCGTATATGTATGGATTTTTTTTTTTAATTTTAGTACACATTATAATATTTTTAATTATGAGTATACGTTGTTGATTCCACCGACGTATGTATATTGTAAATTTATAAGATTTAATTTTGAGAGGAATGAGGTTATAGAAACCTTATTCGTATACCCTTAATTCATTTAAATATCCATCAACTTTAAGATTAATTCGAGCCTTTTAAGAAGAAGAAATTAATATCAAATTTAAATTATTATTTATATTTTTTACATACCTATTATACTCCTTAGACAAAATCGATTATCACATTGGTGATATCACGATCTGGTATAGGAACTAAAGTTTAATATACTAATATTATTGTTTAATTATAATTAGCTATATTATTCATTGTTCTCAAAATAACTGAATATGCTATTCCAATTCCGTATGCTAAATAAGGTAAAATATATTAGTATTCAATTGTGTTTTATATATCCATTTAAACAAATATTTACCGAATTAACGGGTTTTTAATGCTTTAATAGAATTCTTTATTTTAACTCTAAAATAATACCTATTTGGCAAATCATGGTTTAATCGTTTTTAGGTTTAAAAAAAAATCAAAATTTGTTTATAAAATATATCATATAAGATGATATTTCTGCTCTTATAGTTCCATAGTTTGCGTTAGAAATGAATTATGTAAAAATATTTACAAATAATTATCAGCAAGAAGGCAAAAATGCTTTTTAGAAAGTGTAAATTTCACTCATTACAAAAATAAAAGTGTGCTACTAATATAAATGGGAAAACTTAAGTTTGATATTATGCAAGTCATATACATTTGAGTTTAAGTCTAAAACTTATTGTATAAACGTATATAGTTTATAGTTATATATATATACGTATATAGTTCATCCATGAAACTAATTTAATTAATATGACTCGAGAGAAATTTTCAAAATGTATCCAATAATAATATTAAATATGATTATTTCCAAAAATCACTGATTCCGATAATAGAGCTAAATGAATATTTATTGATTGAAGGCTAAAAATAAAAGTGTGTTCAAGAATTTTTAAAATTAATAAGTATTGCCAAAAATTTTCAAATAGAAAAGTTACAAAAACTATTTATATTTACAAGATATTAATTTTATTGAAAAATAATAAATATTAAGACAAAATATGTTACTACCATGATCTTATTTATCATTTTATTTATTTTATTTAGAATTGATGCAACACATGATAATTAAAACATATATTATTCAAATTTTAAAGGCATGCAAAACGTTTGTTCTAAAATCAAAACATTTTGAGAATATATATGCTTTCTACACATCTAATCGTGTATAAAATGAAAATACAAATAATGGAGTGTTTCGATTTTGAGCAAATAATAAAACAATTTACTATACTAAACAAAAAATAAATGTACTTTATTTAATTTTGTGTTAATAGCATATTGAAAATTGTTCGGGTTTCGGGTGTATAATTTTTCATAATCACCATCATTATTATATACAATTAAATAATTTTTAATAATCAAATAATAAAATAAAAATTAGTAAATAGTTAATAATCGTAAATTAATATATAAATAAATAGTTTATATAAAGAAAAAAAAATAAATGCTTAGCCTGGAATATTATTATATTTGTAATTTACGACCGATTTCGAATTGAAAATTCGTTGTTAGGTATATACAATATACCAATATATCTATAAAATTGCGATTTATCACTATTAATTTTAATACGCCATTATTTTTTTGTCCATCCCTTAATTTTATTTATGTGTTCTTGAAGTAGTTTACTAAATCGAATGAAATTTCCATCAATGGCTAGGACAGCCTGAATAGAGTTATTATTCTGGGATATATCAGCAGTAAACACATTGTAGAGGTCGGAAGATAAATCACTGTCTTGTGGAATATATATATGACGTACGTTATATATCCATAAATGATACTAC